GAAGTCACAGGCAGGAAAAAAAAAAAAAGCTGCTCTGAGGAAAAACAAGTAGGGCTATTGCAAGAAGGGGTTGCCTTTTTGTTAACAAGATTCTATTAAACGGCTGCGGCATAGCTTTCTAAACAGCAACAATACAACCTGTTGCAAGCACTGGCCACCTTGGCTGAAGGCATCCAATTTATGAATGAGCTACAAGCAGTTAACATTTAGCTTGAACTTCTGCAACAGGGAAATCTCAAAAATATCACACCTCAACCTTCTCATTGCTCCTGAAACTCTACTAATAAGGAACTAAAGAGGAAACTAGTTGGAAAACTATAGACTGAAAAAAGGAGGGGTTGGCATGTGGGAAGGGCCCCCTCTAGTGGTTCTGGAATTAAATGAACTAATTTGGGATTTAGTATATCAGGAGCAAAGCACAGCTGCAGCAAACCTCAATCTTACCAAAAATCTTACGCAATCATTTATTTCTAATTCTGAGGTGGCATGACAGATTCCTATTTTAAAAAGAAAACCTCTCACTAGCAGGTTTCTGCCTTAGAAGCAACATGATCCTTTCATTGTTACACAATAACCGCTTCAGTGGCCTTCAGTTCAGTTCAGTCGCTCAGTCGTGTCCGACTCTTTGTGACCCCATGAACTGCAGCAGGCCAGGCCTCCCTGTCCATCACCAACTCCAGGAGCCTACCCAAACTCATGATCCATTGAGTCGGTGATGCCATCCAACCATCTCATCCTCTGTTGTCCCCTTCTCCTGCCCTCAATCTTTCCCAGCATCAGGGTGTTTTCAAATGAGTCAGCTCCTTGCATCAGGTGGCCTTAGTTCCAAATGATTTGGTCTCACATCCATATTCTTCACGTTCAACTTTCTAATGTTCTTTTTTTCTCTCTCACCTATATGTACTTCTCTCTAACCAGTCTATATAACCATTGTTTTTAATCTAACGAAAAATTTCATACTTAGGAGACTAGGGCTGGATTTGATATCACCACACACTTGACTGTGTATCATATAAGCAACATGCCAGGCACTGGTCTGAACCATACAGAATCCATAAAAGATAACATGCAAACGCTAACAGACTTCTACCAGCCAGTGTGATGACTTGGGAGAGTAAATATATCCACGTTCTCCTTGAAAACCTGATCTCTCTGCCGCCTCACGTCCCTGTGCAGTTACTGGCTCTTACACCCAGGAGACTCTGTCTCTAGGAAGCGGAGACCACGTGCCACAAGGTGGCAGATGTATGGAGAAACGCTGGCATCTTTCATGCAGAAGACTGGCAGCCAGGGGTAACCCAGCCCCCTAGGACACTCAGGGAGACAGAGATCAGCACCTAAACAGGCGAGGGCTAAAGAAAAGGGGAGAGGGCAGGGAGGGAAAAGGTTTTGATTAAACAAAAGATGGTGGTGACTCACCCTTTGAAATCTGTCAGTGGGTGTAACGTGGAGGACCAATCAGCACTGTATAAAATAGCTCCCCTATTTTCAGTTAACCAGGGAGCACAAAGAGCTCATCATTCCATAGTTCATGTGTTTAAAAAAAGGTGCAAAAATTAAACAAAAAGCTTTCTCTCTTGAGAAAATTAACTTGCAGGGTTCTGGGTAAAAATGCTCATTTTGGGGGTTTTGTTTTTGGCACTGTTGCTGAAACAATCTAAGCATCCAGTAGGAGATATTTAAGTAACTTAGGCTACTTCTGACAGAATTTCGTGGCTATTTAAATTTTGTTTCTGAAGAGATTAAAGAGGAATATTTCATATTGTATTACTAACTGAAAAGTTCAGGATATAAAATTATATACCCAGTATAAACCTAACTGTAAAATTTTGCATGAAAATTTGAAGGAAATGCCTGAAAATGTTAATTGTGGAAGTCTGGCTGGTAAGGTGACCTTCTGTTATTAGTATCCTATAATAATGTAACCTATAACAAGAATATGAGTTAACAGAATTTAAACATGGGCAAAAGATGTGAACAGACATTTCACCAAAGATGACACATGATAAATGACCAGTAAGTACATAAAAAGGTGCTTAACATCAATAGTCATCAGGAAAATGCAAATTAAAACCACAGTAAGATACCACTTCACACAAGAATGGCTATAACAGAAAAAGAGATTAAGTGTTGGTGAGGATATGGAAAAATCAGAACCCTCATAAATTACTGGTAGAAATATAAAATGGTACAGTTCCTTTGGAAAAGTTTGGAAGTTCCTCAAAAATATTAAACATACCACATGACCCAACAATTCCAATCCTAGGTAAATACCCAAAATGAAAACACATAAAAACTTGTTCAAAGAGGCATTATTTATAATAGCCAAAATGTAGAAACAACCCAAATGTCCAACTAATGAATGATTAAACACCACAGTATACAGTTGACCTCTGAACAACATAAAGGTTAGGGGTGCTGACTTCCCCTTAGAGCTGAAAATCCAAGTAATGCTATCTTTGCCTCAAAAACAAAGGAAATGATAAATGACCCACCCAAGGGCAGGAAACTGAAACAGTTTGGATAGAATGAGGACTCAAACTCTAGATCTTTTGATTCCATATATTATGAACACAAACTTTATCCTCATACTTAAAGATCCATAAAATGAAAATACAGGTAACTATATTGAAAAAATACCCAAGTATAAGCGGACCTGACCAGTTCAAACAAATGTTGTTCTTGAGGCAAACTGTATAATCATACAATGGGATATTATTCAGCAATAAAATGGAATCAAATACTGGTATGTGCTACACCATAAATGAACCTTGAAAACATGCTAAATAAAGGAAGCTAGTCACAAAAGGTCCTATATTGTATAATTCCATTTACATGAAATGTCCAGAATAGGCAAATCCACAGTATGAAACATAAATCTGTGGTTGCCAGGGGAATAATAAGAGGAAAGGGAGATGTAGAGTGACTGTTGATTGGTACAGTGTTACTTTTGGGGTAACTGAAATGCTCTAAAAATTTTTTTCATCCAAAGCAATAATTTATTTTATAAAAGTGCAAAATACCAACCAAATAAGAAAGCAGATCTTCCTCATTAAGAGTTTTTAATCTAATAAATTTTGCCTCCTTCATCACCACAAAAACATTAAATTTCACTCCATTTTCCCAAGTAATAGCTAGTTATAGTAACTATGTCAAAAGTTTTTTTTTTTTAATTTTTCATTTATTAGTTGGAGGCTAATTACAATATTGTAGTGGTTTTTGCCATACATTGACGTGAATCAGCCATGGATTTACATGTGTTCCCCATCCTGAACCCTCCCTCCCACTTCCCTCCCCATCCCATCCCTCTAGGTCATCCCAGTGCACTAGCCCAGAGCACTTGTCTCATGCATCCAACCTGGATTGGCGATCTGTTTCACACTTGATAATATACATGTTTTGATGCTGTTCTCTCGAAACATCCCACCCTCGCCTTCTCCCACAGAGTCCAAAATTCTGTTCTGTACACCTGTGTCTCTTTTTCTGTTTTGCATATAGGGTTATCGTTACCATCTTTCTAAATTCCATATATATGCGTTAGTATACTGTATTGGTCTTTATCTTTCTGGCTCACTTCACTCTGTATAATGGGCTCGTTTCATCCATCTCATTAGAAATGATTCAAATGTATTCATTTTAATGTCTGAGTAATATTCCATTGTGTATATGTACCACAGCTTTCCTATCCATTCGTCTGCTGATGGGCGTCTAGGTTGCTTCCATGTCCTGGCTATTATAAATAGTGCTGCGATGAACATTGGGGTACACGTGTCTCTTTCAGATCTGGTTTCCTCGGTGTGTATGCCCAGCAGTGGGATTGCTGGGTCATATGGCAATTCTATTTCCAGTTTTTTAAGGAATCTCCACACTGTTCTCCATAGTGGCTGTACTAGTTTGCATTCTCACCAACAGTGTAAGAGGGTTCCCTTTTCTCCACACCCCCTCCAGCATTTATTGCTTGTAGACTTTTAGATAGCAGCCATCCTGACTGGCATGTAATGGTACCTCACTGTGGTTTTGATTTGAAATGCTCTAAAATTTGATTGTATAGATGGTTGCACAATTCTATGAATAAAATGCACTGAATTGCTCTATACTACTTTGAAGGCTGAATGTTATGGTGTGTGAATTACCTCAATAAGCAATTTAAAAACACAATAAACAACAAAGCTCTCCTTTGGGAAAAGACCGATGTTCCAATAACAAGGTTTTCCAAACTACTTTACTTATCTGAACGAACAACTTTTACAGGCCAATTTCTTGGATACTCTTCCTAACTTCTATTAAACACATTGCCATTTTAAATTAAAAATACTTTTTAAAGGACAGTTACATTGAGTTATAGCAGGGTTTCTAATCCTCAATGAAGGTCAGGATCACCTTACAGAACTTTAGAATTAACACTGACCAAGACTCTATCCCTTAGAGATTTGGATTCAAGTGGTCTAGGGAAAGACTCAAGTGGTGTTACATTTTTAAAAGCTACCTCCATGGATTTAAAGCCAGGATTTGGAATCATGTTGCAATTCAACGGAATATTAAACCATATTTTAAAAATCTTTTAGGTGAAGGCAGACCTTTTCTTAAGCAAAACAAAAAGCAGATATTTAAGAAAAATTTGTTTCCAATCATACAACTATAAATAAAAAGCCACATAAAACAGTTAGTCATAAAACCAATTTAATTGAAGCTATAAAAAGAGGCAATACACTTGATAAAATAATTAGGAAAGAACATTTAGCACATTTTAAAAGATTTAAAACAGGAGAACACTTTACAAAAAGTTGTTGTGTGAAATAAAATCCTTAAACTATGAATAGAAATGTAACATTACAGAGTATGTTATAAAATACAATGACAGAAATATAAAAGGACTATGTATACTCTAAGTCTGAAAACTATTAATAATGACCAGATATTTAGGTTTAAATTTACAGTTCCTGGGTAAAAGGATCATATAACTATACACATCTTCCAGACCAATGGGCAGTATTTTCCAATTAACCATGAGTGGTATCATCTTCTACAAAGTCTTTGGCCATCTCTGCTGTGATCACATCAATATGACTAACCTGAAGAATATACATTAAAAACAGAATCTGTTAAATTGTAAAGAAATTTATCTGTGTTCCCACTTGATATGGTAATATTTTTAAAATACAGCCAATTACCTATAAATTTCATATTTCAAGTCAACTGACTATAACACTGACTGATAAAACCCTTATTTTAATGCTGTTTGTTCAACACATGAGTTTAAAAAATATTCTGCATTTTAATGCTCTGAAATACAGATAAGTACTAACGTCTAAATATCTGAACCACATTTTTGTTCAGTTTTTATTACTTTGCTATTTCAAAGAATTTTAAGGCTGAAAACACCTGGAAGAGCCGTGTGGTCTAACCAAATATAAATCAATGTATGTAAATGTTAAAGACTGTGCATTAAATAAGCACTAAATAGACTAGAGATGAGGATAATGTCTCTAAAGGACAATGAGAATAAAACTATACAATGAATGCAAAAAAAAAAACCCTGATAAGCTTCATAAACATTTTAAGTTTTTCTTCATAAAACATCATCATCAGATAAGCAATAAGTTTCTGAATTTTTTCCTCATGACTTAAGTAACAACAACAAAAGAATTCAACAGATACAATGGACTAAATACTATATGAACTTAAACTTCATGTAAAAAAATCTTACCTTATTTCTGAACTTCACACCATAGAATTTGTCAGCTGACTCAAGCAGCTCAGGCCTAAAAGTAGTTGTAATGAATTGAGCATGTACAGCAAGCTCCATAATCATATCTGTAAAAAGAAAGAGTAATTTAATAAAACCATTTTCTCAGTAACACTAAAAATTTTAAAAACAACGATCTTTACTCTTATCTAAAATTTAAACTGACTGTTTGCATAAATCTACAGAAAGCATCAACTTGTTTCTTAAGCTAGGGATAAATCTTTAACACCAATATCTTAGTTACAGAATATAAAAGCAGGATTTTCTAACAAAGGATTAGAAATAATGTCAGAGCAAAGTAAATTTTTCTCATCCAGAAAAACCAAAAGCAACCTTTTCCTGGCTACCCACTCCCCCAAGATCTTTTGAACTACTAAAGATCAGATATAGATTATTTAAGCACAGAATCAAATCTGTTTACAACAAGTTTTAAAAGGAGAGACGTTTGTATAAAAGCTTAACTGGGGTTGGATTTTCAATTATTTCATGTTTCTCATAGAACTAAACTTTGTAGTCTAATATTAAATTTAAAAAACTTTGTTAAAAGAGAAATTATTTTGTTTATTGAATAACACCCTGTCTAGTCTCCCCAGATACCTCAGGCAGCAAGAAATATATGATAAAAGAGGCAAGCTATCATTTCTAGTAAGTTACTATGAAGCTATGAAACCAAAACTGTACCTGACACAGCCTTTCTGTGTTGAGCATCCAGAGCCTGGTCAATCTCATCAAACAAGTAAAAAGGAGCTGGGTCACATTTCTGAATGGCAAAAATCAGAGCAAGAGCTACCAAGGATTTCTGTCCACCCGAAAGCTGTTGCATTTCTCTCATTTCACCTTGTTTTCCTGTAAATGACACCTAAGAAAATATTTAATTAGAGTTAATATTTCAAAGGGGTAAAATCACCATCGTCTCTTAAATTGCATACAGTGCACCAATTTAAGATTTGCAAAATAATCCACTATGACAATGTTCTCGGGAAAACTGAATATAGTTATTTTACCCTAATTCCAACTCCAGTGAACTGGTCAACTGATGGAACGCTGCTTTGTGATCCAGAGCCCCTCTCACTTTCACCGCTCCCTTCTCCTTCATCCTGAGACTGACTGCCTTCCACATCTCCTTTCTTCATCACCAAAGTAGCTTTGCCACCAGGAACCAACTTCTGGAATACTTCACTAAAGTTTTTGGATACCTTAAAATGAATAATATATAAATAGGTGTCAAATGGAATATGTACTTTTTGAAACAAAGACAAAAATTATTTAAAAGCCATCAAAAATATTTTTATTTTTTAATCAAAGAACAAGAATAACAGACTGGATCCTTTTAAGAGTTGTGTATATACTGGATATCTGTAAGTATTAGAACAATTATCAGTGGGAAAAAAGCTTTAAAACCTTTACAAATTGAATGATAAATTGAGTATCTGAATATTTTAGCTTGTGTATTAACTACAAACAGAAACATACCTGTTTGAAAGTTAACTGAATAGCTTCGTATTTTCGAAGTTCAAGTACGTTCATCAGTTCCATGATTGATTTGTACCCCCTGTCCAACTCTTCTTGTCGCTTTATTAACTTTTCTTTCTGCTCTGAGAAATTTACAAACTGATCTAAAGCTTTTTTGTTAACATGGCTGTACTTCTTCAATTCTGTGTTGCACTGTTCAAGTTTTCGAAACAACTATAAAGAGAAAAAAAAACATATAAATAAACTCACAAGTAGGGAAATTTGCAATGAGATTTCATACTTAAAATCAACTAGATTTACCTGTTTGAGGCTCAGTGTTTGGTATTTTTCAAATGCTTCCTGAGGAAGTGATCCAAGTTCTCGAATTTTCTTCATACACTCTTCTTTCTTCTTCAGCAGCATGCCTTGTCTATTTGTCATCTTTTCTAGTTCTTTAGTATCATGATTTATAGCATCCATGTGTTCTTTTTCCATATTTTTCCAGCGCTCCATACTCTTCTGCAACTCCTTAATTCCAGCTTCTGTTTTATCGATGGAATTGTCCAAATCTAAAATGGGGGGAACACCAAATTAGGCCATAACACTTATTTTATTTTGGCTGAGCCACGCGGCTTGCTGGATCTTAGTTCCCCGACCAGGCATTGAACCTAGATCCCTGGCATGAAAGCAGGGAGTCCTAACCACTGGATAGCCAGCGAATTCTCCATAACACCTATTTTTAAGGCCAGACGGTTATCTGATCAATGATTTAATGGTCAAATCTATCAAAATAAACAGGTTTAAATTTTCCTGTGAAAATTTATGAAAGAATTCAGAATAAAATTGGGAGTGTACACAAGCCATTCAATTCATATATAAAGTTTTTATTATTCAGTGTTTATAAAAACCTAAAATAATTTTCTTCTCAGCAATTAAGTATCATTTACTTGATTCAGCTAGTCCATGTTTTTGTCAATGAAACTAATAATGTATGGTCTCTTAAAAACTGTCACAAACATTTCAATAAAATGAAGGCGACTATTATAATCAACACCCTAAACTGTTCACTAGAAACTGTTTATGACGAAAACTTCTGTTACATGCTTTTGCCTATTTGGGTATTTCATTTTTTAATACACAGCCTTATAAAATGGGGATAAGCTAAATTTAACTAGATACCAAAAACACTTTTACAAAGTAAAAATTCACCTTCTGATCGTGCCATGGTATCTTTCACCCTTTTATTGATGGCTTCAAGTTCTGAGGTTGTAGCAGTGAGAACAGTACCCCCTTCTGTCTCTCTCAGTTCATTGAGTTCCTATAACACAAAAGGAACACAGGAGCATTAAGCCATAAAAATATAAATTTTGTTAGTTTCAAAATGTTATGACTGCCAATGTTTACGGAGCTGTTGATATGTTTGAATCAACACTTAAGGAAACCAGAAAACATACTTTAAATAGTTGTAAATACTTAAGGTACCCATTAAGCAGGAAAAAAATGATTAATGACTAAAAAATTTCTTAGCATCTGACGACTACTGAGAAAATATTCGTAATTAATATTTACTGAGTACCTAGAATGTGCCAGATAATCACACAAAACATACTGCTAAGCTTATTTTACCCAAGAGGAAACTGGAGCTTAGAAATATCACATGACTTGACCAACACAGTACACCAGGTGGCAGTGTGAGATCTCCAAACCAAGGCAGGTAGACTGCTAGTCTTTCTGTCCCCAGAGTCCACGCTCTTAAATCAAAGCCTCTCACATGAGCATTTTCAAAAGGTTATGCTCATCAAGAAACCATCAAAAGAGAACACACCTGTTCTACTTGGTCCAAGCGTTTTCTCAAATTCTCATTGAGGTAAGTCTCTACTCGAGTAATAATACCTTCTAATTTAATTCTTTCATTCAGTAGTTGTCTGTTTTCCTAGAAGAAAAAAGAAAAACAAAATTGTTCATCTACATAGGCGTGCACATTTCACATATAGGAATGCAGTTAATCTGTTGTTGTCTCCATTACTTGTGTTCAAATGAGCTGAAACAAGAGTTTTATACCTTTCCAAAAAGACCTTTATTTTCTTCATCTACTCTCTTATCTATCCAGAAGGCTATTTTTGTGCCTGGTTCTTTTCATAAGGCATACTACCAAAAATATTTTTCTTTTCTGCTTTTCACTTTCTGAATTTCGTGTTAATTATTTACATCTATATTTAAGAATCAAATGTTATTAAAATGTTTAATCAAAACAATATTTTTAAATATGTAAAGGTGGTCAGATCAATAAATACAGCAAAGCTAACAAGATCGATTTTAATAATGACAAACACACATTAAATAAGATGAAAGAAAATAAAGATTTCTTATACAATCCTATCATAAGGTTTAGAAAAACTTACTAAAATCTCATTTACTTTAATGGATACTGGAAGTCTAATAAGTCTTATATTATCTCAATAATCTCTCTCACACTCCTTTACTAGCAAGAAAGACCCTCTGCACAACAGCTGATTACCACATTTTTCCTTCTGTCAACTGTACTTGCCTGCTGAAGTTGACGAATTTCATCGTTCAGTGCATCTACTCTCTTCTGATCTTCCAGACTAAGTTGAGAAAGCAAATCAGTTCCCAGTTCTGCTTTCAGTGATTCTCTGGTGGACTCCATAGCATGCAAACTTGCCTCCAAACTTTGTAAGCTACGTTGCTGTATGACAGAGTTTCCATTTATTAGTAACAGTATTAGTCAGGGTATCACTTAGAGTAGTGAAAAATTAAAGACCATCTTTATTTGATATTAAAGTGAGCTTAAATAATATTATCTCAATTAAATAGATGCCCATTACATTTGATAATTAGAACTACGCAGCAACAAGAAAAACGTTTATGATGCAATGTTATGCACGATGTGTGGAATACATCATAGTCCATGGTCAAACTATATAGAAGTTGCTAGAACGTTAGGGTGGTCTAATTGTGGGTATATACACTACATTTTTAACTTTGTTGTTTTAGTATAATTGATGTACAAAATTAGTAGTTTTTGTCAAAACTGTTCATGTTTATGAGACCAATGGATATTATCATTTGTAATAGCAGTAACAGTTCACTTTCTAACTCATTTCAATATAATTTGGACAAAATGCAGTCAAATAAATCCATAAGTAGCATTTACAGACACAAATGGTACCTGGCTGACTACTGGACTTTTATGCCATGGCTCAAAATGCCTACTTGCTTAATGAAGTTAGAAAATCTGAATTTGGCCTACAAAAGTAGACTCTTGAGTACTCATGAATAAAAGTGTGATAAAGATACATGCAGATACACAAAGTATGGGCCTAAATGAAAATAGAACATAATGTATATGTTACATAACCTACACAATATATAGTCTACCCCAAATCTATATAATTATATTTAAAAAAAACATAAAAACATACTTACGAACCTTGGGCATAAAGGTTTTCTCTGACTGCTGCCTCTTCTCTTTTAACATCTTCATTTCTGATAATATGCTATCTCGAGATGCTTTAAATTTCCTTTGCTGAGTCTCTATTTGCTGCATTTGGTTCATTAGCTGATCAATTTCATTATTAATCCATATACAAGGCTAAGGAAAATTCTCTTCAGTGCCTATTAACTTGTATCCCCTTCCTTTTCTTTATCCCTAGATTAAGCTATTTTCCCAAATTTAAGTACCATAACAACATAGAATTAAATACTATGTCAAGTCTGTTTAGTCATAAAAGAAGCTTTAAACATTTTAACCCACTTCTCTCTCAAAATAACATACAATTTTACCAACTGCTATACAAAATAAATAAATAAACAGAACCATGGGAAAGTCCTAAAGGAAGCTAAATGATACACATTTCAAAATATATATTTTTTCATTCAACAAGTATTTACTATATAAGCTATTATGCTTAAAGCACTATATAAGAGAGTTAGATGTGAAAAGGCGGCTTCATGTGTTTTCCCAGGTTCTGTGCTCAAATCTTGCCAAATTTGGGCAGATCTCAAAGTATGCAAAATCAAAGCTAAGATGTTTATTTGCCTTCTTCTCTGTGCTCTTGCTTCCCACTGATGACAAAGACGCTATATACTCACGATTTCTTAAATGCCAGTTTCACTAAAAATAGGTCCTAACGAAGCAGTAAAAATAATTATTTTCACTGCTTGAGCACCTGTATTTAACATTGTGTGACATAATGCAAGGTATATACACGAAGCACTTTTGCCTTATACCATGGTTATTTTAAGAAAATGGACATGCACAACTGTTTGTGAGCTGAACTAGTCACTTTTCACAGAACACCATTTTTATCTGAAAGAACGGAAAGAGCCATAATTACTAAGACTTGCATTTTGATGGACATTTCCTCCACTAATACTAAATCTGAAACTCAAGATAATAACCCCTAATAGACATTTTTCAATCCTTATATACTTAACTTCTATGTAATATGTGGCATTCCTGATACTGCCCACTCTTCTTCCATTGAAACCCTATCCAGGTTTTCTTCCTAAAATTGTCGGACAAGCCCTCCTCAGCTCCCTTTACAATCTTAAATTTCTGTATTCCTCAGGTTCTTTTCTCTCAAAAATACACTCATTGCCATTAACTACGTAACAGCTAAGCAAAGGCTATTACAATGGTTTTTAGTTTTCTCCCTGTATTCAGAAGTTAAACGGACATACTACACAAGCTTAAATAAAAGTCAAAATAAAACACGTGGGATATTTTCCCCCACTGTATATGTGAAAATACATCTAACACTCAAAAGATTCTATATTCCAACCAAACAGTTCTTTCTCTACAGCAACACAAGAGAAAAAGATATTTTCAATATTTCTGCGCAGATTTTCATTGAGCTTCGCTTCAAGCTCACCAAGTTCTTCTTCTGCTTTTCTAACATCTTTTTGTAATTCAAGTCTAGACTTCCTTGTATCATAATAGCCTCCAGTCAAAGCACCTCGATGACTAACTTGGTCACCTGTTAATAAAACATAAAAAAATTAGTAATTCTGTATAACAACTTCTTTATTCAACAATAAATTGATTCATAATCAAACAACTAGATTAATCTAAAGGTTTTACCTATTTAGTAAGAACTTAAGAGTTTAAGCCACCTGGGAAAAAATGTTGTTTTACAATATTAACACTTGCACTTAAAAAATATACCTTCCAGGTAAACCTGAACATTTGCCAGAAAGGAAAGTGTTAAAGACTAACAGGAACATGTCAACAGGACACAGAACCTAGCCTGAAATTCCCAATGGCCATAACTGGGGAAATATGAAAATCAAAAATAGCAATGGCAATTTGGTTACACATTGAATAAAAAAAAAATCCATGAATCACAGCAATACACAAAAAGGAAAAAAGGAGGGGGCTTTTCTTTACAGAAAAGTGACAGCTAATAAATATAGAAGCAATCATGGCATTTTAGAATGATCATTTAGAAACCCTCAATGTATTAAACCAAGTCAGGCAAGGGTCCCCAAAGGACACTAAGCCACTGGCAAAGAAACTTCTGGGGGAACCTGATATTCACATGTCCTTAAAGGATAACCCCACATATCATGTATTACTTACAAAGGGAAAAAGGTACCTTTACAACCAAGATCCGCTAGTGGTCAAACCTGGTGTCACTACAGTGGGACACAAAGTGATGCAGTAAGAAGTACACATCACTCATGCCAAGAATGCTTGACCTAACCTAGTAAAGAGGAAGCAGTAAGACAAATCCAGAACACTAAGGATTTTTGAGAGGGCAGACAGAAGCAGCAAGAAGAACCACAGTCTCACAGCAGCTAAAACCAAAACCACATCACAGAAAGTTAACCAGGATGAAAAAAGCAGAGGGTTTTGTCTCAGAGGAAGGGGCAAGATAAAACCCCAGAAAAACAACCAAATGAAGTGGAGAGAGGCAATCTTCCAGAAGAATGCAGAATGATAGTCAAGATGATCCAGAATCTCAGAAACAGAACAGAGGCAAAGATTGAGAAGATGCAGAAATGTTTACCAGAGACCTAGAAAAACTAAAGAACAAATGAGATGAACAATACACTAAAAGGAATCAATAGCAGAATAACTGATGCAGGAGAATGAATAAGTGACCTAGAGGACAGGATGTTGGAAATCACTGCTGCAAATAGAATAGAAGAAAGAATGAAAAAAAATGATGACAGAACACAAGAATTTCTTTGAAAAAGTAAATTTCTGGGGGTGGGAGGAAAACAGAACTGTGCTATACTGAAATTGTTTATGCTTCCCTGTAAACATATAGGGGACAAAAAAAACAACAGAAAATGAGGACAAGTGAACCCATATACCAGAGGTTCTTAACCCTCACTCAAAATAAAATTCAGGAGGTCCACTGCTAAATCTTGTTTTTTAATATCTTAAAGAATAAATTACTATGTCATATTTCTAGAAATACTGCAATAACCATGCCAACTGGTTTCTTTGCTGGTCCAAAGTATTTTGTTTTATACATTTAAAAAATTTTTGAGAAAGGTGCCAGAGGCTTCACTAAACCAAGTCCATGGTGCCAAAAAGGTTAAGAAATTCTACTATACATTAAATGATTATACTTATGAGACATCAATTAAACATAAAGTGTTGACCTTGTTGAAATTCTGACTTGAATAAACCAACAGGATTTAAAAATGAGAAGTAACTGCACATGAATTTTCAAACACTTTTAAAGGAATTTATTTGTTCAAAGCTAATAATTACTATTACAAACCTTCCAAGGTAATGCAGTCCATAGTGAAAGCACGGGCCAACTGGGTTGAAACTTCCATACTACGACAAATAAGTGTTTTTCCAAATACATGTTTGAAAGCTTTGTCAAATCTGGGATTGTACCTCAATTTACTTATCATAGGAATAGCATCCTAAAAATGAGTATGTTGTTAGCAAGCAAAGAAATCACAACACAATTAATTAAAACATTATCAGAATTGTAAATTACATTTTTCTGAAATACAAATAAACAAAATGCCTTTATGTTTCAAAACTGTTTATTTTTATACTGAACAGGTGAGAAAATTCATTCTACTGAAATATGCTAGAAACTGTACTCATGTAAGTCACCCAGGTTTTCTATAGTATAGAGGTTTTCAGAGCACAGCGATAAAGAGCTCAGTGGCTCTGGAGCCTGACTGCTCAAGTTCAAATCTCAGTTCTGCTTCTCAGATGTGTGCTCTGGACAAGCTGCTTAACTTCTGTACTCATCTACAGAACTACAATAACAACAGTACCTTCCTCACAAAGTTAAGACTAGGCGAGTTATAAATGTTAAACATTTAGCGTAGCATCTGTCACACAGAAGGGACAAATACAAACTAGTAGTATGTTCTCAAAATATTTTCACTTTATTTACATCTAATAATCTACACACATATAACTTTAGACACTCAGAAAAATATTTTTTCAGATAAAATTTATTTTCCCTTTTTTCTCTCAACTGGCATAATCGAATTTTTACATTAGGAAATACATCCAATACAGAAAAAAGCAATAAATATGTTAAGCTTAAATTAATAATTACAAAGCAAACACCAATATAACCACCATGTAGGAAAAGAAACAAAACACTACCATAAAACCCAGAAGTCATAAGTGTAGCCCTCTTCTAATCATAGTGGTTATGTCCATTGGTTACCTGCTGGTGATGACTACTATTATAATTTTGTGGTAATCACTTCCTTGCACTTGTAGTTCTATCATCTAAGATTACTTTTGTTCAGTTATTGTAAAGGGAACAACACAATATGCATTCTTTCGTGACTTGCTTCACTCACACATCACATTTATGACTCAATTTCTCCTCCTCAAAACTTCAGAGATAATTTGTAGATTTAAAAGAAAAAGCTAGACCACTCAAATAGCTTGTATGATTCTCACTGTTTCTCTTCAACTGTAGACCATTCTCCCAGGGTTTTAGTTTTAACCTTAAAAAACAGTGAAATAACTGCTACCACCATCAACATTCTGAAGCCAAACACCTCAAAGCAATTACGTTTTTACCAAGGATGATGTCTAGGTAATATTTTTAATCTGTTAAAAAGTATACCAGTTAACAACAAGAGCAATGTTATGCTTTCAGAGGCTATCATATTGTTAGATATTTTTAATCTAATTTATAAGCCATTTAAAAGAATATTCAGAAATCTTATTTACTTGAAATGATACTTCCTCAGGGAATCCTCCAATTATTAAATCTTAATTTTTGTCTCCTTGAGTTACATTCTCAGAATATCCTGTACTGATGTATTTTAACACTTGGCACATTTTGCAATGGTTTATGTCATGGCTGTGACCTGTCTTCCTTCCTTCCTCATCCAGCATTAACTATCCTCTACGGTAAGAAAGGAATGCTTACCTCAGACCACATGAACCACAATGTATAGTGCGTGTTGTGCACTAACATGTGCTAAACCAAGAAAAAAACTTACTGAAAGACAGACTTTAACACACATCAACTCACATTGGTTTCAGGATAGGCAGTATCCCTTACATCTAACTTGTTAAGAGGCAGGAAAGTAACCTCTCCAGGAAGATTCATTTTATTAAACTCCATCAAAATCTTCGTGCTGACTTCATCTGAATCAACAATGTGATAAAACAACCTACATGTAAAGAGAACGAGATAGGTCCAAAGTGCTTTAAACATTTAAGCAAACAAGTTACTTTTTTCTATGCAATCCAGTTTGTATGGGGAGGGTTACTCAGAAAATTCCAATGGAGGAAGAGAAAGTACAAAAAGGAGAAGTTCTAGTTTCTACAACTAGGAACAAAGACTTAGCAGTGACGTCTTTAATTGGAATGTTAAATAAAAGGATTGAAATATTAAATAAAAGAGGATATATTTAAACTACAAAAAGTTGTTTCTTAGGTTATTCTTATTCCCTTTTTTCTTTAAAAACTCAAAACATTAAGCAAAAAAAAAATCTCACCTGTTTCCAGCAGTGACTTCCACACATGTGTAGAAGGCAGGCTCACATTCAAAGTTATTCATCACAATACCATGATAGCCATTTTGAACATGCTGGTTTATTCCTTTTCGACGGAAGTGGTCTAGCACTTTATTTATGCTATCTATTCCATTTAAAATGGCCTATTCAGAAGCAAAAAAGAGTAAAATAATGCTAATGGCACTCCTGCTGATATAAAATGCCCCCATTACTCTATACATTAAAAAAATATACCAAATTGGAAGATTGGGATTGACATATACACAACTATCTATAAAACAAACAGCTAACAAGAACCTACTGTACAGCACAAGGAACTCTACTCAATACTCAGTAATGCCCTCTATGAAAAAAGAATCTAAAAAAAAGAGTGGATATACTTATATGTATAACTGATTCACTTTGCTGAACACCTGAAACTAACACAACTCTGTAAATAAACTATATACCAATAAAAATTTTTAAAAATAAAAAATATACCACAGATTAAACACCTTCTCCAACAACAGGTCAACTCCCTTGAAATATGCCAACTACGTGCAACACCTTGTATTATGGATTCTGTTCCATGATATTAGCATTAAAAATGGACCCTTCATCTAGAAATCACAAGTGCTATTTTTAATAGCATGGGTGCTTAAATGATATCCAGTATTTCATATTTATAAGTAATTTGCACTCTTCTCTTGAAAGCTAATAAATTCTTATGCAGTAATAACTGACTCAATGCAAACTGAGGTAATGAAAAGAACCTACCCACCTTTCCTGTTGCAGCTCTAAGAAGTTGCTGTTTCTTTTCAAGATCTTCTCTTTTAGCAGCAAGTGCCTGCTGTTCTGCATTCTCTTCTCTCCACAAGTAACTAATCAATAAAAAATAGACTGTCTTCAATTTTAAAATTAAGACAATATGCTAACAGTATACAATTTTGAGGGAAGACTGAAATTAAACTTCTATAGTTAATTTATAACTTCAGTTCACTTCAGTCGCTCAGTCGTGTCCGACTCTGTGCAACCCCAAGAATCGCAGCACGCCAGGCCTTCCTGTCCATCACAAACTCCCGGAGTTTACTCAAACTCATGCCCATCGAGTCGGTGATGCCATTCAGCCATCTCATCCTCTGTCATCCCCTTCTCCTCCTGCCCCCAATCCCTCCCAGCATCAGGGTCTTTTCCAATGAGTCAACTCTTTGCATGAGGTGGCCAAAGTACTGGAGTTTCAGCTTCAGTATCAGTTCTTCCAATGAACACTTAAAGACCATTTAACAGCCAGTAACTAGCATTACTCAAAAATATTAAGGCATACTTTAGTCTATACTAACTTTCTTTCACTTTGTAATTCATCTTTCTTATTTTTTACTTCATAGTATTTTCTGTCCAGTTCTTCAACTCGAGCTTTGACTTCATTAAGATCCTGATCCAGTTTCTATGGAAATAAAAATAATTCAAATTTAAAATATAATTTCATACAAACTAATCCCTAGTAATAGAAAGCAGGTCAGTTGTTATCAGGGGATGAAAGTGGCCAGGAAAGGAGGAAGGGAGGAATTACCAACGGATAAATTTTGGGGTGATCAATAGGCTTGTTATCTTAATTGTGGTGATGGTTTAACAAGCACATACATGTATCAAAACAATTAATTTGTTCATTATTAACCTTACTACTTCTATAATGTATACTCTAGAATTTTAGAAGAAAAAATTTATTAATAAATTCTCAAAACACTGCAATGCATACTTTTCACATGGCCCTCTCTTACAAACACACTAGAACACAAGAGATTTAGGAATATACTAAGAAGCAAATGGCTCTTTTGTACAATGCAATTAGCACTGTAAAATCATCTCTATCCAGTATAAAGAACAGAGTTCACCCTCACAAGTGGTCATTCTGATACACTTAAATGTGACTGAAATACTGAAAAATAATTTCAAACTTAAAAAAGAATGAATAAAACCTCTCACTGCAAGGTCCTGTTTTAGCACCAAGTTTTTTCAAAAAGGGCATCTGTTGAGGTTGATATTTCCATGAACTCAAGACAAAAATGCCTTTTATTTCAAGACAGGACTGTAGCTATCTCAAACTGAAACAATACTAACAAATTCCCAAATAACTGACTACCTCAATCAACCTGTTTTCCATTCCTGACCAAAGTCCAAAGCACACTGGCCTGTAGTCTATTACTCCTGGTCACTTGTCCTACCAGCTGAGCTGTTTATGGTTACAGAATCAGTTCTGTTTGCTCCCTGGTATGTTTTTGTTTTTAGGTGACTGATTACATTAAACATTAGATAAACTGATGATATGAGTACAAGGAAAAGTTGTTTCCTTACAAAACTGATTTAGTTGAACACACTCAAAGATGAGTCACTAAAAATTGGATTAAATGGGCAAAACAACTCTAATATATAATACATAAGTGCGTATGGTAATAGATACTATGTACTTTAAAATGGGCTTCTCAGGGAGCTCCGGAGAAACGGAGTAGCCATCACAGTCGGCAAGAGTCCCAAGAGCAGTACTTGGCTGCAGTCTCAAAACGACAGAATGACCTCTGTTCGTTTCCAAGGCAAACCGTTCAGTATCACGGTAACCCAAGTCTATGCCCTCTAACGCTCTCCAGTAACGCTGAAGAAGGTGAAGTTGAACGGTTCTATGGAGATCTACAAGGCCTTCTAGAACTAACACCCAAAAAAGATGTCCTTTTCATTACAGGGGACTAGAATGCAAAAGTAGGAAGTCAAGAAATACCTTGAAAAACAGGCAAATTTGGCCCTGGAGTACAGAATGAAGCAGGGTAGAGGCTAATAAAGTTTTGCCAAGAGAACACACTGGTCATAGCAAACACCCTCTTCCAACAACATAAGAGAAGACTCTACACATGGACATCACCAGATGGTCAATACAGAAATCAGATTACATTCTTTGCAGCCAAAGATGGAGAAGCTCTATACAGTCAGCAAAAACAAGACTGGGAGCTGTGGCCAGATCATGAACTCCTTATTGAAAATACTTAAATTGAAGAAAGTAGGGAAAACCACTAGACCATTCAGGTCTGACCTGAATCAAATCCCTTATGATTATACAGTTCAGTTCAGCTCAGTCACTCAGTCGTGTCTGACTCTTTGCAACCCCAGGGACTGCAGCATGCCAGGCCTCCCTGTCCATCACCAACTCCCGGAGTCCACCCAAACCCATGTCCATTGTGTCGGTGATGCCATCCAACCATCTCATCCTCTGTCGTCCCCTTCTCCTCAATCTGACGCAGCATCAGGGTCTTTTCCAGTGTGAGTCAGATCTTTGCATCAGGTGGCCAAATTATTGGAGTTTCAGCTTCAGCATCAGTCCCTGCAATGAACACCCAGGACTGATCTCCTTTAAGATGGACTGGTTGGATCTCCTTGCAGTCCAAGGGACTCTCAAGAGTCTTCTCCAACACCACAGTTCAAAAGCATCAATTCTTCTGTGCTCAGCTTTCTTTATAGTCCAACTCTCACATCCATACATGACTACTGGAAAAACCATAGCCTTGACTAGATGGACCTTTGTTGGCAAAGTAATGTCTCTGCTTTTTAATATGCTGGCTAGGTTGATCATAACTTTCCTTCCAAGGAGCAAGTGTCTTTTAATTTCATGGCTGCAATCACCATCCGCAGTGATTTTGGAGCCCAGAAAGATAAAGTCAGCCACTGTTTCCCCATCTATTTCCCATGAAGTGATGGGACCGGATGCCATGATCTTAGTTTTCTGAATGTTGAGCTTTAAACCAACTTGTTCACTCTCCTCTTTCACTTTCACTTTCTGCCATAAGGGTGGTGTCATCTGTGTATATCTGAGGTTATTGATATTTCTCCTAGCAATCTTGATTCCAGCTTGTGCTTCCTCCAGCCCACCGTTTCTCATGATGTACTCTGCATATAAGTTAAATAAGCAGGGTGACAATATAAGCTTTGACATACTCCTTTTCCTCTTTAGAACCAGTCTGTTGTTCCATGTCCAGTTCTAACTGTTGCTTCCTGACCTGTATACAGGTTTCTCAAGTGGTAGGTCAGGGGGTCTGGTATTCCCATCTCTTTCAGAATTTTCCACAGTTTATTGTGATCCACACAGTCAAAGGCTTTGGCATAGTCAATAAAGCAGAAATAGATGTTTTTCTGGAACTCTCTTGCTTTTTTAATGATCCAGCGGATGCTGGCAATTTGATCTCTGGTTCCTCTGCCTTTTCTAAAACCAGCTTGAACATCTGGAAGTTCACGGTTCACATATTGCTGAAGCCTGGCTTGGAGAATTTATACAGTGGAAGTGACAAATAGATTCAAGGGATTAGATCTGATAGAGTACCTTAAGAACTATATAAATGACAGAAATGGTACAGACCTAACAGAAGCAGAAAATATTAAGAAGAGGTGCTAAGAATACACAGAAGAACTATATAATAAAGATCTTCACAACCCATATAATCACGATGGTGTGATCATTCACCTAGAGCCAGACATCCTGGAATGTAAACTCAAGTGAGCCTTAGGAAGCATCACTATGAACAAAGCTAGTGGACGTGATGGAATTCCAGTTAAGCTATTTCAAATCCTAAAAGATGATGCTGTGAAAGTGCTGCACTCAATATGCCAGCAAATTTGGAAAACTCAGCAGTGGCCACAGGACTGGAAAAGGTCAGTTTTCATTCCAATCCCAAAGAAAGGCAATGCCAAATAACGTTCAAACTACAATACAATTGCAGTCATCTCACACGCTAGCAAAGTAATGCTCAATATTCTCCAAGGGAGGCTTCAACAGTACATGAACCATGAACTTCCAGATGTTCCAGCTGGATTTAGAAAGGGCAAAGGAACCAAAGATCAAATTGGCAACATCTGTTGGATTGCTGAAAAAGCAAGAGAGTTCCAGAAAAACATCTATTTCTGCTTTACTGACTATGCCAAAGCCTTTGATTATGTGGATCATAACAAACTGGAAAATTCTTAGAGAGGGAATACCAGACCACCTTAACTGCCTCCTGAGAACTCTGTATGCAGGTCAAGAAGCAACAGTAAGAACTGGACATGGAACAACAGACTGGTTCCAAATAGGAAAATGAATATGTCAAGGCTGTATATTGTCATCCTGCTTATTTAACTTATATGCAGAGTACATCATGAGAAACGCTGGACTGGATGAAGCACAAGCTGGGATCAAGATTGCTAGGAGAAATATCAATAACCTCAGATATGGAGATGACACCACCGTTATGGCAGAAAGTGAAGAGGAACTAAAGAGCCTCTTGATGAAAGTGAAAGAGGAGAGAGAAAAAGTTGACTTTAAACTCAACATTCAGTAAACTAAGATCATGGTATCTGGCCTCATCACTTCATGGCAAACAGATGGGGAAACAGTGGCTGACTTTATTTTGGGGGGCTCCAAAATCACTGCAGATGATGACTGCAGCCATGAAATTAAAAGACACTTGCTCCTTGGAAGGAAAGTTATGATCAACCTAGACAGCATATTAAAAAGCAGAGACATTACCTTGCTAACAAAGGTCCATCTAGTCAAAGCTATGGTTTTCCAGTAGTCCTGTATGAAAGTGAGAGTTGGACTATAAAGAAAGCTGAGTGCTGAAGAATTGAGCCTTTTGAACTGTGCTGTTGGAGAAGATTCTTGAGAGTCCCTTGGACAGTTAGGACTTCCAACCAGTCCATTCTAAAGGAAGTCAGTCCTGAACATTCATTGGAAGGACTGATGCTGAAGCTGTAACTCCAACACTTTGGCCACCTGATGTGTAAAACTGACTCATCTGAAAAGACCCTGATACTGGGAAAGATTCAATGTGGGAGAAGGGGACGACAGAAGATGAGATGGTTGGACGGCATCACTGACTCAGTGGACATGAGTTTGAGGAGCTGGTAGTGGACAGGGAAGCCTGGCGTACAGCACTCCATGCAGTCGCAAAGAGTTGGACATGACTGAGCGACTGAACTGAACTGAACTGATGGCTCAGTGGTAAAGAATCTGCCTATCAAGGCAGGAGACCACGGTTCGACCCCTGGAAGGGGAAGATCCCCTGGAGGAGGAAATGTTAACTGACTCCGGCACTCTTGCCTGAAAAATCCCATGAACAGAGGAGTCTGGTGGGCCACAGTCCATGGGGTTGCAGATTTGGACACGACTGGGCGACTGAGCACACAAGCACATACTTTATAACAGTAATTCAAAATGTCAAGTCACAAAGTCAAGGAAAGACTGAGGAGCTGATGCAGATTAAAGGAGATAACAGAAACATGACAACTAAATGCAATATATGATCTTATATTGAATCCTGAATTGTTTTCATCCAACTTTAAGGAGAACTGTATTTACATGTGCGGCTCATAACACAAAAGTCCCCTCGGAATGCCAATCACTACTCATATTCATAAGAAATACCCTGGGTTCTACATCAAGATTGGTATACACTCTGGTGGAGGATGTTGATAAAGAAGGCTATTCAGGTGTGGGGGTAGGCAATATATGGGAAATCTCTATACCTTCCTCTCAATTTTGCTGTGAACCCAAAGATGCTCTTTTAAAAATGTCTAAAAATAAAGACTGGTACATAAGCATACACTTATCTTTACATATTTATATATAAATACATGTAAATATTATACATGAAATGCATATATATATATACATATTTAAGATTTTATGTTTTCAGTGACTTTTCTGATAAACTGACCATACCAAAGGTGAAGACCTTGTAAGGTAAAAAGGTTCCTTCTAGGCATGTGTATAAATAAATAAATATATATATATATATATATATATATATATATATATATATATTCTTACCCCACACCTGTCCTACACACTCCCTTCTTACCACTTCGATCATCTTCCAATCATTATATCCACAAGTAGCATTTAAGAAACCATTTTTCTCTCTAATTTTAAGTAATTTAAAATCTTTCTTATTCAAAGTAATGATGTCATCTTCTACTTCAATTTGTAAGAAAATGCTAACTCAACATGCAGAGTGAATGTTTAATTCATTTAGAAAGTGTTATAAAATCACCAATGTGTTAACAAAATATATTCTGCAAGTTATTACATTGATAGAATATTACATTATTATATAAAAATGGAAAATTTTTAAATTACTAGTCATTTTAGATTTGTATGGTATCACTTACAGTTAAGTGTACAGTCCAAGTACTTGTTACTGACTCATAAAAAATATATTTTAAAATATATTTCATCTATATGGACACTCACTGATATGGTAAAAAAAATCTTTACAAAAAGAACTAACATATGTATAATATTAAACTGTGCTGGTCTTACCTAATTAAGTATCTGTCTTGTGTATTTTATGATAAACTATTTACAAATAAAACCTAAAGAAACAGGTAAACCTGCACATGTTCACACTCAACGATTTCACAAAGAAGCTATGAAAGTTCTTACATTATATTGCTCCAAATTTTTCTCTTTATTTGCCTCAGTGTCCTCCAAATCCTTATGTATAGCAGCAATCTGTCTTTTCTTGTCATTAATAGCTTGATCCAAAGACTTGAGTTCCTTTTTAATCCACTTATCCCTTTCTTCTTTTGATGTAAACTGGCTTCCTCGACCCTGCTTTGCATAAAGGTCTGTTCTTTCCTGGGTAGCTTGGGCCAATCTACACAAGATAGAAGAGAATGGATTGAAAAGGGCAACAGGAAATAACCAAGTTTAATTGCAATCAATACCTCAAGAGTAGAGAGAGACAATAACCATTTTTATAATTCCATAAAAGAAGGAAAGAAGGGGAATTCCCTGGTGGTCCACTGATTAGGACTCTGTGCTCTCACTGCTGAGGGCCTGGCTTTGACAGTCAGGGAACTAAGACCCCACAAGACACATGGGGAAAAAAAAAAAAAGAATTAAGTATAAAAAGCAACTGTTATCTAATAGAGCTTCTAGGACTAGCTCTATATAACATTAATTTAACTTCAAAATCACAGTGAAATTCAGGTAAAACAGCCCATCCTCTAAGGATTTAAGGTCCTTCCTGGTCTGGGTTAATCAGTAAACCTAGACAAATCTAGCACCCTACCTCAGGGGTTTTCAAAAATGCTCCAAGTATATTTAACTATTTAAATATTTTCAACACCTTACAATGAAAGACATTATAAAAGTTAAAAGCAAGAGAAAACACATACAACATACAGGACAAATATTAATGCCCAGATAATATAAAACAATGCTATCCAACAGTAAGAAAAAAAAAATCAGGAAAAAAATGGAGAAAAGGATATAAACAGGAAATTCACTAAAATAAACATATGAGGCATAAAAACACGATAATATACTAAATTGTGAAGTCAGCAAACACTGGAAAGTCCAATCTACAGACATAAACTAAAATGTCTAGATGTTAAAAGTCATCAAGTATGAAAAGAAAGTGGCAGAATGAACACACAGCAGGATACAATTTGGGTAAAAGGAATAATCATCATTCATGTTTTTAAAAGTCCAAAATTTAGCTAAATTATTATGGGCAAGTTACTGAACTTCCCAGAGCCCTAAATCTGTCAAATTTACAGTGAGGATACTATGGATCTCCTAGGGCTTCTAAACAGGTAATATGCATACACTAATACTGGCCCACAGTATCGGCTGTTACTTTGAAATGGGCATTTAACTTTTTGCCCTTAATTACTTTTTGCCTTTAATTACTAACTTCCTAACCTATAATTCTTTATATTAGGTTCTATAGAGAAACCAATGCAGAAAATTAGAATTGGTGAAAAAAGTCCCAGACCTAGCAATTCCTCGCTCTTCTTTTTCTTTTACACTGTTGAATTTAGGTTCTGTTTCTGCCAGTTCTTTCTGCTTTTCTTCTATTTTTTCAAGCAGCTTCTGCCTTTCTTTTAATAAGCGTTTCTGTAAATAAAGCAAGATAAGTAAAAAATGCAATCTGTTTAAAAACTTTTCTTATTTATAAGTCTAGCATAAGATAATTTCTCATGAAAAGAATTCATGAGAAAACTGAACCTGCAACACTAAAACTAGTTTTTAAATGAAAGTAACTGATAGTAGTCAGTTGCAACTTGAATGCAAATTATTTTAATGTGCCAAATTTTTCACAAAAATTCAAGCATGCACCCCTGTCACAGAAAGGACTGTCCTCTGCAGTTCCCACTCACCTGAACACTTGTGTCTTTCATTTTCAGCATTTTAACTTACCCTCTGTTCACTATTGCCTGCCAATTCATCTTGTAAATCCTTGGCTTTAAGCTCCAACTTAGTTCTCTGCTTAATTTGTTCCTGTCTTTCAGCACTGAGCTGTTCCTTTTCTTCTTTCATAGCTGAAATTTTTGTTTTCAGTTCTCTAACTTGGCGCTCAATATCCTATTCAAAAAGTATCAAATAGAAACAAGTCAGACAACTAGAAATACAAAAGCAAAATCAGGACACTATTGGTTTGTCTCTTCTTTTTCCCTCATTTAAACTTTCAGTAATACTCTCTTTCCAATACTCAATCCCAGTGACACCCCTACTTGAAGTTACCATTCCATAATTCTGGTATAAAAAGTTTAACTTACAAGTTAACCGAACCCAAGTTTATAACCTTACCTCCATTTTATCTCTTGCATCCTGCTGAGCATCTCTTAATTGTCGGGATTTTTCTCCACTTGTCTCTCGCTTAGCAGAAAGCTGGGAAAAAAACCAAGCTATGATTTCTAACCCATTTTGAGTTTGTTCAATATTTTATAACATCTAGCAAAAATCTTTAAATATCTCTTAAAACAAGCATTCACTTACAAAATTTTTTCCCCAAAAATAACTGTAGTGGTTTTAAATAGAAAATGCCTGTAGTTTTCAGCATTACCTAAAACACATTTTTGTACAAAATGTCAGTAATACTAATTACAAAATACACCTTAAAAAGCCAAGAAAGAAATTCGTGAAACCATAAAAGTTGTTTTCTTCTCATCCTGGTCTGCCTGACACCACCACCTAATTATATGTCAGATACAACTATAGCAAGGGTCATTTTCCTTGGAGTAAACTCAAAGAGTAAATCTGCTGAGTAATGAATTCACTAAGACATTTTAAAGTTTTGAGGCCTGTATTTAAAAATCATTCAAAAGTATAAATATGAGTTTAATATATTCATAAAAATAAAATTAAACAAGTGGCAGTGGTAAGTATTTTACCTCATCAAGTTTAGCACGAGTCTCGTTAAGTTCCTGATTGTAAATGGTATATTCCAGGGCTCGTCTCATCTTATCCCACTTTTGATACTGAGCTAGTTCTTCCTTTTCTTCCTCTAACGTATGTAATCTCTCTTCAATGTATTTTAACAACTCATTGATTTTTTCCCGTTTTCCCTCTTAAAAAAAATGGGAGAAGGGTGAAGGAGTTGAATAAAATTTGTATTAATATCAATTCTCAAATATACTGTGTTAATCTTAAGCACGTTAGCATTATTTCTTTGATGTTAGGTGATAACTAAATCTAAGATACTAAAATGGCAATTAAAATGCTTTATCATGGAAAGTATAAGATAATGAACTTATACATGGTGACACTGTTTCTTATATTACATGTGGTACAGGCCTCTGTTTAAGCTTCCTTTAAAAGTTAATGTGCCTCCCCATGACATTAGGAAAAACAAAAACAAAACCTTAATATCACTGGTGTCACAGATTCTCAATTCTTATAACAGCATTATCTATATAGCTGCCATATACTGAATACTTACTATATTCCAATCATGGTGCTACTTTGCTCCTCTGTGCGCCACTACAAACTATAAAAAAGGACTTCACAAATGAGAAAGCTTTTGACCAGAGAGGTCAAGTCTAAAGTCTCAATATCAGGTAACTATTATTTAGATTTTGAATGTAAGGGTTTCTGACTCTTAAGGCATGAAAGGGCACAGCACTTGAAAGGCAAAGTTGAGTTTCCATAATGAACACATTAAGAAAGAGTCCAAGTTCAAAGTTTAAGTTTTACATTTACTTGCTTCTGAATAAATTAAAACCTAATGCCAACTGATATTTCAGCATTTTTTTCCCCTGAGGAATACATCCAAATGTGTTATCCTCACTAATAATGAGAAAGACTTTAAAGGCACAAAGCAGCTGACCGAGAATGGCACTATTATCTCACAGTAACAATTCTTTATTCAAAGAGACAAATTGTTAGAATTCTCAAACTTTCAACTGCCTAACACTAATTTTCGTTCCAATCCGTCCACAGGCAAATTATTATACAATATTCTCCTGAGAATAGACAACTTCTCTCAAGTATCATAACACAATGAAAAAGCAATTCACAGAATAGAAGAAATAAGGCAGAATAACATTTATTTTACCTGTTTCCTTCATTAAAGATATGCTTTCTTCTTTTCGTTCATCATACACTCTAGTACCAGCTACTTCTCTTAATAGTTTTAGTCTCTGAGAATCTGGTGCTGTTGCCATCTGGTTAATCTAAAAATTTCAGAATAGTAATTATTTACAGAGATAGATTGCTCTTTAAGAACTCTACCTTGAAAGGTATTCACATGCCAAGTTTTAAGTATTGAGTTCACAATGGGAGAACAGCAATGAACAGAAAATTTCTTACCCTCAAAGAACCTACATTCTAGTGGGAAAAAAACCAGGAAGTATACATACCATTACACTATAAGTGCCATGAGGAAAAACAAAACAAAATAAGAAATTATAGCATAAAGAGTTAGGGTGATTGGGAGGGGGGATCGGGATGGGGAATACATGTAAATTCATGGCTGATTCATGTCAATGTATGACAAAAACCACTACAATACTGTAAAGTAATTAGCCTCCAACTAATAAAAATAAATGAAAAAAAAAGAGTTAGGGTGATGGCAGTGCTCTAATAAAAGAGGCAGACAACATAGACGGCTTCTATGAAATGACCTATGAGCGGACACTGAAATAATACAAAGGGACCTATGCTGCATGCATGCAGGAAGTCTCAGGTAATTGCTTTCAAATCAGCCTCCTATTAAAGAAATTTCTTATAAAGACAGTCTTTTCAAAAATCTTGCTCTTAAAAGTGAAACACATATTCTTCCTAATCCCTTTTTCTGAATGCTAGCTTTCCAACACATAGCTAAAAACACCTCCAACATGAAATAAGAAGTGGACATTTTAAAAGGATTCTCCCCTAGTCCAAAAGAGCACAACAGAAAACTATTAGGACCCTGCAGGATATGCTGTAAGAAAAATAAATTATTTTAGATATATATAGTTAAAATATATGAGGAAATAGCAGAACAATAAGCAAAAGTATATAACTCCTAAAAACTGTAAAAAATCCAATTTTGATTAAGGGAAAATAATATGTAGCATTATGGCAGATTTCTGGTAATGTAAGCTTTCTAGTGTGTTATACTAACAGAGTATTAATTTCAGAAAGTAACTTTTTTCAAATGTGATTTTTATAAAGTTTCTACAATACTCTTAACTTCTACAAACCAAAAATATCTTCGGATCACTAAGAAAACACGATCCACTTAAATAATTCTGCTGAAATACTTTTATCACACTGTGCAATGGATCTATTTTGCACTTTATGGCCACAAAAAAGGTATGTTATACAAACTTCAGTGCAAAATAAATCAATGAAAACAGAAGACAGTAAGGTCCATTTTCACCCGAATTTAACCACTAGAATGAAATCAAATTCATCATTCAATGAATATAATCAGAAAACAAATTCCATTTAAAAAGATACACATTTTTTACCTTTCCTTGTTTAACAATATAATAAGGATTGCTTCGAGAAAAACCAGCACTTTCAAGGAGGTTCATCACATCATTTTTCCTGTTGATAAACAATTAAAAATTTTTTCAAATATATAACAATCTAACAATAAGCAAAGAATACACTAACCCTTGAGTTAAGGAGCATGAAGAAGTATAGAACAGTCATTAAACTATCTGTTATATCAGCCTCAGGGAACCTTCTGATTCTTATGCTTGAGTTCTAAATAATGACTTGCTGAACACGAGGCAAAAGCACCTCATATACGAGCCAAGTAAAATACTTTTACTCTTTTGTATAAAAATTATAAGCATAAAAATGCTTACGTGACCATTTTCTTGTCTAAGAAATACTGATCCTTTTTGGCACCGATAACTCTTCGAAGTGAAACTTCTTCTTTGTCGATCTAAGAAAAAAACATAAAAGCTCAAACATAAATCTAATAGTAAATGTTTTGGAAACATTTCAGTTAATAGGGTCATTTTAGAGTCCCTCACCATAGCAGTTATTTTGAAACTTCAATTATCTCACTAAAGATATGCTATGAATACTCAATTCTACAACAAAGACCTTTTTTTTAACAACAGCTTGCACATTCCCACTTGTTTACCAGAATATTCAAAATTTTAAGATAAAATTACTATGTAAGCTATAATTATTTTAGTATAAACTAAATCATAAAAGCCTTCCTGGGTAGCTAAAACAGTAAAGAATCTGCCTGCAATGCAAGAAACCTGGGTTTGATCCCTGTGTTGGAAAGATCCCCTGGAGAAGGGCATGGCAACCACTCCAATATTCTTGCCTGGAGAATTCCATGGACAGAGGAGCCTGGAGGGCTACAGTCCAGGGACTCACAAAGAGTTGGACATGACTGAGTGACTAACACATACAAATCATAAAAGCCTAAGTATAGCTATAAATAAAAGTTTCAAAGCATGAAAAAAGTCAGCTGCATCAATAAAACTCTCAACATTATTACTGAAAAGAAAAAAACAGTTACTCACGGGTAACCGGTTGTCTGAATTGTCAAAAATAATCTCCACAAAAGCAGAAATAACACGAGGACCAGTACCCTCCTAAAACACAAGAAAAAGTTAATGTCATTTAAGTGGTATTTTCACATTCTTTAAATATTTTTAAAGTTTAGTGAAGGTAATAAGCCCGATTCAATGGAGGAAAATTTCTATCAGACTAGAATATCACAGCAATCCAGTCTATGCCCCAACCACTCATGCCAAAGAAGCTGAAGTTATATGATTCTATGAAGACCTACAAGACCTTCTAGAACTAACACCCAAAAAAGATGTCCGTTTCATTACAGGGGACTGGAATGCAAAGGTAGGAAGTCAAGAGATACCTGAAGTAACAGAAAAGTTTGACCTTGGGAGTACAAAATGAAGCTGGGCAAAGACTAACAGGGTTTTGCCAAGAGAACACACTGGTCATAGCAAACACATTCTTCCAACGACACAAGAGAAGACTCTACACATGGACATCACCAGATGGTCAGTACAGAAATCGGATGGATTATATTTTTTGCAACAGAAGATGGAGAAGCTCTATACAGTCAGCAAAAACAAGACTGGGAACTGACTGTGGCTCAGATCATGAACTCCTTATTAAAAATTCAGACTTAAATTGACGAAAGTAGGGAAAACCACCAGACCATTCATGTCTGACTTAAATCAAATCCCTTACAATTATACAGTGGAAGAGACATATAGATTCAAGGGATTAGATTTGATAGACAGAATGCCTTAAGAACTATGGACAGAGGTTCATGACACTGTACAGGAGGCAGGGATCAAGATCATCCCCAAGAAGAAATGCAAAAAGGCAAAATAATTGTCTGCAGAGGCCTTACAAATAGCTGAGAAAAGAAAAGAAGAGAAGTGAAAGGCAAAGGAGAAAAGGAACTATATACCCATCTGAATGCAGAGTTCTAAAGAATAGCAAGGAGAGATAAGAAAGTCTTCCTAAGTGATCAATGCAAAGAAATAAAGGAAAACAACAGAATGGGAAAGACTAGAGATCTCATCAAGAAAATTAGAGATACCAAGGGAACTTTTCATGCAAAGATGGGCACATTAAGGACAGAAATGGTATGGACCTAACAGAAGCAGAAGATATAAGAGGTGGCAAGAATACACAAAAGAACTATACAAAAAAGATTTTCATGAGCCAGATAACCATGATGGTGTGCTCACTCACCTAGAACCAGACATCCTGGACTGCAAATTCAAGTGAGCCTTAGGAAGCATCACTATGAACAAAGCTAGTGGAGGTGATGGAATTCCAGTTGAGCTATTTCAAATCCTAAAAGAAGATGCTGTGAAAGTGCTGCACTCAATATGTCAGCAAATTCGGAAAACTCAGCAGTGGCCACAGGACTGGAAAAGGTCAGTTTTCATTCCAATCCCAAAGAAAGGCAATGCCAAAGAATGTTCAAACTACTGTATAACTGCACTCATCTCACACGCTAGCAAAGCAATGCTCAAAATTCTCCAAGCGAGGCTTCAACAGTGCGTGAACCATGAACTTCCAAATGTTCAAGTTGGATTTAAAAAAGGCAGAGAAATCAGAGATCATATTGCCAACATCCACTGGATCATAGAAAAAGCAAGAGAGCTCCAGAAAAACATTCTACTTCTGCTTTATTCATTACTCCAAAGCCTTTAACTGTGTGGATCACAACAAACTGCGGAAAATTCTTAAAGAGATGGGAATACCAGACCACCTGACCTGCCTCCTGAGGAATCTGTATGCAGGTCAAGAAGCAACAGTTAGAACCAGACATGGAACAACAGACTGGTTCCAAATCAGGAAAGGAGTATGTCAAAGCTGTATATTGTCACCCTGTTTATTTTACTTGTGTGCAGAGTACATCATGTGTAATGCTGGACTGGATGAAGCACAAGCTGGAATCGAGATTGCTGGGAGAAATATCAATAACCTCAGATATACACAGATGACACCACGCTTATGGCAGAAAGCGAAGAAGAGCTAAAGAGCCTCATGATGAAAGTGAAAGAGGAGAGTGAAAAAGTTGGCTTAAAACTCAACATTCAAAAAACTAAGATCATGGCATCTGGTTGCATCACTTCATGGCAAATAGATGGGAAAACAATGGAAACAGTGAGAGACTATTTTCTTGGGCTACAAAATCACTGCAGATGGTGACTGCAGCCATGAAATTAAAAGACACTTGCTCCTCGGAAGAAAAGCTATGACCAACCTAGACAGCATATTAAAAAGCAGAGACAGAAGTTTGCTAACAAAGGTCCACTTAGTCAAAGCTATAGTTTTTCCAGTAGTCATATATGGATGTGAGAGTTGGACTACCAAGAAAGCTGACCGTTGAAGAATTGATGCTTTTGAACTGTGGGGTTGGAGAAGACTCTCAAGAGTCCCTTGGACTGCAAGGATATCAAACCAGTCAATCCTAAGGAACTCAGTCCTGAATATTCATTGGAAGGACTGATACTGAAGCTGAAGCACCAATACTTTGACCACCTGATGCACAGAACTCACTCTTTAGAAAAGGCCCTGATGTTGGGCAAGATTGAAGGCAGGAGAAGGGGATGACAGAGGATGAGATGGTTGGATGGCATCACCATCTCGATGGACCTGAGTCTGAGCAAGTTCTGGGAGTTGGTGATGGACAGGGAAGCCTGGTGTGCTGCAGTCCATGGGCTTGCAAAGAGTTGGACACAACTGAGTGACTGAACTGTACTGAGAAAATCCTCTTGCCAGCGCAGCAGACACTGGATTAGGATAACAATACTCAACCACAAACCTTTTTTTCCCTCCCCCAAATAGACTTTGACTCTGAATTTAAAAAATGAGAACTATGCAAAAGATGTCAAAGTTAGATATACCTAGGCTTTGTTCGATATACCACTTCATTTGAGCACAAGACCCCAGAACCACCCAATTTTACCTATTTGCTAATATATAAAACACTTTGAGGCTTTTCTCTCATAGATTCATCTTAATGTTAGAAAGGAACCCTAACAAAGCATATAATTACTGGAACTGTCTTTTTAAACATTTGAGATATTCTATATAGTTTTAAATCTGCTACAAAAACATTCGCATTTAACACGTCACGTTTCGATCAGTTTGTGACCCAGCTACTTAACAAGCCCAGATGATTTCTAGGTTGTGAAAACTGTTATGAAGTTGTTCAATACAATAAAGAATAATACCTAAAGAAATTATTCTTTTAATGCTAATCTGAGAAACCTAAACAGAGCTTTTCTTATAGGGAATCAATCCTGAGTACAGACTAAAAATTCAAATTTAAAAAAAAAATTTAAATTAAAATTTAAGAGTGGGAAGAAGGAATTCCTTGCCAGTCCAGTGGTTAGAACGTAGTGCTTTCACTACCGTGGCCTTGGTTCAATTCCTGGTTGAGGAATTAAGATCCCGCAAGCCGCATGGCACAACCGGAAGAAAGAACAGAGGGCAGGGGTGGTGGGGGGTGGGGGATAATGGTTAGATAAAAACTTTTAAGCCTGAGAGACACTGTGTAGATACACGAAGAATCTTGCTTTCTAGTCTTAAAAGTAATTATAAGCCATATTTAAATAAGACAGATGAGGTACATCATTTTATCAGACTTTTATACTTTCTTAACCTAAAAGTGTTTATAATTTAATGAAAACGTTCTAACAATTTTCACTACTATGAACACACTTTCTTATTGGAAACTGCTCCCTTTAGGCACAAACACGGCTGCAGATGGGCTCATGTGGCCAAGTTCCTAGCGGCTGCTCTCCTGTGGCTCCGTATCAACTCCTGACCTCCCTGGTGGCTCAGATGGGAGAGCGTCCGCCTGCAGTGCGGGAGACCCATGTTTAGTCCCTGGGTTGGGAAGATCCCCTGGAGAAGGAAACGGCAACCCACTCCAGTCTTCTTGACTGGAAAATTCCACGGACGGTGGAACCTGGAAGGCTATAGCCCATGGGGTCGCAAAAAGTCGGACACGACTGAGCAACTTCACTTTCTGAGTCTCAAAGTTTCTAATTCCCAACTTAACTCTTTTTTCTCCTCAGCAAACCAGATTCCAGATTCTTTATTTAAAGTATAAAGAATTTATATTTATATGGAACATATATCCATCCATAGGGAACTCCTACAATTTTTTTTAACCATTATATAAAAATTAAGCCTTCATCCTGCATTAATATAGTACACTAAATTTCACAGCAGAACATATACATAAGAAACATATTGTGTCATGTTCACAAAAGATCTGAAACTTGAAAAAATAATTTTGTTTAGCAGCACCGACAATGTATTTTTAGAAATACTTAAAACCGGTAACGTTTTAAAGCAGTCTCACTCACATGTAACAAAGCCAATCGCTGTTCCGGACGAAGATGACTAAACTCATCACTGAGAACAAACTGAATTGCTAGAAACATAAAAACAACTATTAGTACAATCTAAAAAAGATTTGTGCTTTAGTTATAATTTCCCATACCTTCAGAGAACACAGTGTATCTATCAGGTATTGAACAATACAGATAAAGTAGATTAACTGTTTCATATAGACAAAAGGAATGCAGAAAATTTGCCTGTACAGACTAATCAGCTACAAAATGATGATATTAGAAAAATATTAACAAGCTTTCATGGAAACATTTAAGGTAAGAAAATAAAAGAAAACACTGAAATACACAAAAAGACAAGTGGAACTAAGGTATAACTCTTGATCAAAGTATACATGTTCAGGTTTCATGCTATATTTGCTTTTATTCACTACATATAAATGATATAAATTAAAATATTTAACAAAATAGGATATATTCCTATAATATCCTTAATTGGATACTTTGTCAAAAGAAACAGAACTATGTAGGAAATACTGGGAAATGCTTCAGATTTCTACTCTCTGTTGCAGTACTTACATGCCCTTTGTCTTCTATAAATAAGAAGGTATCATTCATGCCACTTCCACAGAATGCATAACTGGACCACCCTCTCCTAGAAATGGAACTCTTCACTCACTGTTGTATTCCCAGTCCATCTGAGAGACTTTTGACACTCTAAAAGAGTGAGCGTGTGTATATGAATGTGTATGCTGGGGGTGATGGTGGGGATTGGTTTTCTTTTATAATCACCTTGGAGGGGACAAATTCAAACTCCTAGAGAAATACTTCCACTCCAATCCTACCCTTCTCACCATCCCCAAATTAAAACTACTGATGGGATACAGAGTGCCCTTTAAAGCATGAGCAGAGAAGGGACAAAACTTCTGCTATTACTAATGCTCCCTTTTCCTCAAGCACCACTCAACTAAGATGTTTAAAAATTTTTCAACCTACTCCTTATATAGTCCAAATCTGTAAAATATTTTTCTCCCCAAAGAATTTAACACAGGCAGTACTATTCTTAAATGCGTTTTATCTTCAGAGATAGTTTTCAAAGCTCTATTCACTACCTTCTGACAACTCTTTGTGAAGTCTATACAGTTTTTTATACTCCTCCATCTTTTATTAAAATAATTGATTTAGATGAAACAGATAAGCTATTTCCCTTAACAATATTAACTATTCTACTGCACTTATATTCTTTCTCTCTCTCTGCATTTACAACATTTATATATGGCACTGAAGTTCAGAAAGCACTCCTATACATATAATTTCATTTGATTCTCACAACTCATCTAAGGTAGGCAGGGAAAATACCTGTTTTCAAAGTGAAAGACTACTTTGAGAAGTTGTTCTGTGTAATCTCACATGGCTAATTAGCCACTAGTGTAGAGCACAGATTCTTACACTCTAAACCCTCTACATTAAATTGCAATCGTGTTTGAAGAAGTATTTCTTCTGTTTCATGCAGACATAACCTCAGATAAACTACCTTAAGATACCTAGGTCTTATTATATTTAGAATTAAAAATACAATACCTACCATAAAAAAAGTTACTTTTTCCAGATCCATTTCTGCCCACTACAAATCAAAAAGTATATGTTATTTTGTATAAAAATCAGTAAAATTTTATACTGAAAGTATTCAAAGATATAAAATCTTATTTTCTAACAAAACATCTTAAAACTTAAATACAACAGAACAGTGAACAGCCAATAATAAAACAGCTTTAATTACCAAATAAGTACAGTTTTTGTATACTGTTCAGTTTTTTTCTTAAAGCAATTTATTTCATTGTTTACTTTTTTGCTCTTTCTCCATAGTTTAAAATTAACAGGAATAACTAAACATACTACCTGGTCTTCATAATTTATAATCATTACAATGGACATGTAATTTTATTTTAATTGTATATAATACTTCTAACAATTTAAAGATTCAAATGCTAAAATTTTAAAATACTTAAACAGTCATTAAAATTTCGCAAACCATTTCCATGTTAAACAGTTTTCTGATCAGCCCTATACATCAAGTATAGTCTCAGAATCCCAAAAATACAGACAACTGTAAGGCACTTGTTTTACTACCTGAATTCAGAAATGAGCAATTCTATACATAAGAGAAAAATCAAATGCATCAGATATAATGAATTCATTTGAACTTTTCTGTTCAGCAGAATTTTCATTGTTAAGAGTCATGAATAACTGTCACTCTCTCTCAATCTTGACCAATATCCTGAACAAATTAGCCCCAAAGTCATTATCTTTAATCCAAAGCAAATTCTAAAGATATCAGAAAGTAATGAAGTGCTTAAAAAAAAAAAAGGCATTTAACAGACACAGGCCATCTTGAAGGGAGGGGGCTTCTACTAGGGAAACCTAGGACAATTTGAGCACCAAAATAATTAGATGAATTATAAATTAGGGCTTGGGTGGAAGTGGAGGAGATTAATTCGTAAGTCCATACTGAAAATAAAAGATAAACAAACAGCTAAGGAGAAAGGATGCTTGATTACAGTAGAACAACAAAGGGTAAATGTGAAAGGAGTGCTGTAAATAGATCACCATCCTGTAACTACCAGAATAAAGGCAAGAATTATTGATGAATACTAAATCTAAGGGGGAATTTTGATAAGGAATACAGTATTTGCATGGTCTCAAAATCTCTCCACATTATTTATCAGTTGCAAAGGAAAAAACACACACTATAGTGGGAAAATGACACAACCTTTACTGATCAAAAGTATCATCATCAATAAGAAGCAGGCAGATATCATGTGCCTCCACATGGAATACCCTGAAAAGGACGCATCATTTCCATAATATTTCTCAAAACTAACAATGTAAAACACAAAGGCTGTGGAAATGATCCAGATTAAATGAGAATAGAGAGACATGACAACTAAATGCAATGCCTGATCGTAAATTAAATCCTGTACTAGAGGGAGGGAATGCTAGAGGCGGGGAAATGCTATAAAGAACATTTCTGGGTCAATCAACATAACTAGAAAATAAAAATAAAAGATTACTGTATTGATGCTAAATTTACTGACATTGATAACTATACTGTGATTATATAAGATGGCTTCACAAAATCTGTCTGAAGTTATCCAATGTGACCACAAACCAGACTTATCTTCTTTATAAAGATATGACCACTTCTCCCCTCACTCTTGCCCTCAAACTGCACTCTCCCATTAAGGCCTTAGCAGCTAAGCAGGCCTAGAGCTCTGTTTTCCAGGAAAGCAGGACTAATTTAAGTATAAAGTATAGATCATTAACAGTAAGAATAGCTATCTCTGGGTAGAATGACTACAGTTTAACTTTTTTTCCTTTTAGCTTCTATGCTCTTTATGTTCTACAAAGTCATGTATATTTCTTTTGTTAGAAGGACAGGAAAAAAGATAACCTTAAAAACGTTTATGGCTATTACATTTAAACATCAAATATGTATCAGCACACAGGGTATCTCCCTGCCTTCAAATCATTATTTTTCCAAGGGTCAAAAATCACTAAACAAAGCTTTCAAAAGATATGTTTAGGATCAATCTCAGTGTATATTACTTTTGGTCTTTCTTACATGATTAAGGGACTTGTTTTTAAAACACATTAAACAATATCATGGGTTTTTTTTCAGTTAAACAAAAGAACATTTAGATAATTTCCTTTGTAACTGTGACTGTTAACAATCCTAATGTTGCAACCAAAGTAGTAAAATAGCTACCTGATATGAGTCCCTACAGATATAATTTAATCATTCTAGGTAATGATGGCCATCATCTTACAGTTCATTTATAAAATTACAGTCAGTGCTCCAAATCCCAAATCACTGGGTTCCAAACCTAAGGATTTAATCAACCACAGACAGGGGGCTGGGGTGGTTTCAAAAAGTTCTAAAAATAAACCTGAATTTGCCACAAGCTGGCAAATATTTACACATGATGTACATTGTATTTACAGCTATTTACATAACATTTATATTGTATTACAAGTAATCTAGGGATATGCTTAGGTTACATGCATAGATTTGATAACAAGTTTCAGTCATGCATCCAAGATACCAAGGAAAAACTATAACTGTATAAAACTGATATTAAGATATTTAACCACTTTTAATTTATAAGTTAAGGAAATAATCTATATCTAGTAATTACTCACTTTTCTCCATTTCTAAAGATTTTCTGATTGATGAAAATCAGAAGACACCTATAATCAAAATGTAAGTAAAACTCTAGTACAATCAGTCTATTCTTATAGCACACCAGTTAATGATTTTTCAGTAGGTTAAGGCAGAAGGAAAAGTATGTTTTTATTACCAACTACAAAGCTGCAATGGATGCTTCAACGGCAGGCCTTCTCTTGCCCTCAATTTTTAAATTTTATTATGTATTTCAAAATAAAATATGACTCTCAAAAGTTCCTCTGGGAACATTAGTATTCACTGTTCACCCTTAACTTATTTCTGTATTGTTAACTAAACTGGCACTTGCCAAGAGCATTTGCCAGCAACAGAACAAGGGCATTTGCATTTGCCTCTGCAAAGATGGAACCCTATGCTGCTGCAGCTGCTGACCTTCAACACCCCAAGCTGAATTCAGGGTGGAGAGTCAGGCACTCTCTGCTCACTCTCACTTTCCCACTAGGAAAACTGGTGCAACAGGTCTTCAGATTGATATTTTCAGGAACCGATTTCACGATCCCAATCCCTGCATCTCTTCATATTTAGAAAATAGCTAAATCCCTTCATGATGACATCCGCTCCTCTTGACTAGCAGAAAACTTTGTGTCAAATAAGCACTAGCAAAGTAATGTTCAAAATTCTTCAAGCGAGGCTTCAGTTCTCCTGAACGGATAACTCCCAGATGTTCAAGCTGGATTTAGAAAAGGCAGAGGAACCAGAGATCAAATTGCCAACATCCACTGTATCAAAGAAAAGCAAGAGTTCCACAAAAATATCCACCTGTTTCACTGGCTACGCTAAAGCCTTTGACTGTGTGGATCACAACAAACTGTGGAAAATTCTTCAAGAGTTGAGAATGCCAGACCACCTTACCTGACTCCAGAGAAACCTGTTAGAACAGTTAGAACTCAACATGGAACAATGGACTGGTTCAAAATAGGGAAAGTGGTGCGTTAAGGCTGTATATTGTCACCCTGCTTATTTAATTTATATGCAGAGTACATCAAGCGAAATGCCCTGCTGGATGAAGCACAAGCTGGAATCAAGATTGCTGGGAGAAATATCAATAACCTCAGCTATGCATATGACATCCTTATGGCAGAAAGTGAAGAGGAACTGAAGAGCCTCTTGCTGAAGGTGAAAGAGGAGAGTGAAAAAGCTAGCTTAATACTCAACATTCAAAAAACGATGACCATGGCATCAATGGAAACGGACTTTATTTTGGGGGGCTCCAAAATCACTGCAGATGGTGACTTCAGTCATGAAATTAACAGACGTTTGCTTCTTGGAAGAAAAGCTATGACCAACCTAGACAGCATATTAAAAAGCAGACATTACTTTGCCTACAAAGGTCTGCCTAGTCAAACCTGTGGTTTTTTCAGTAGTCATGTATGGATCTGAGAGTTGGACCATAAAGAAGGCTGAGCACCAAAGAACTGATCCTTTGAACTGTGGTGTTGGAGAAGACTCTTGAGAGTCCCTTGTACTGCAAGAAGATCAAACCAGTCAATCCTAAAGAAAATCAATCCATTGAATTCATATTCCGGTGAATATTCATATTCACTGTAAGGACTGATGTTGAAGCTGAAGCTCCAACACTTTGGCCACATGATGCGAACGGCCAACTTAATATACAAGACCCCGATGCTGGGAAAGATTGAAGGCAGGAGGAGAATGGGGTGACAGAGATGAGATGGTTGGATCACATCACCAATTTGATGGACATGAGTTGGAGCAAACTCCAGGAGACGGCGAAGGACAGGGAAGGCTGGTATGCTGCAGTCCATGGGGTCACAAAAAGTCAGACACGACTTAGTGACTGAATAACAACCAAAGGGCTTGAATGCACTGAACTTCCCCTTCACCAAAATCTTATAGACTGACCTTCTCCCACTGCCTCTTTGGAGCAGTCTCTCAGAGTTATCTGAGGTGCTGTCTCCTGGGATGCAGTCCTCATTTTGCCCTAAATAAAACTTAATTCCCAACTCGTGCTTTTTTTTTTAGTCAACAGTATGAATCTTACCTCACCTCAAGCTATGGACTCCATGGTACACACTCTTCCTGACCCCCAATTCGTATGTTAAAGCCCTAACCCTACTATCTGAAGCTTTTTGGGGATGAGGGGGGGTCTTTGGGAGGTAATTTACATGAGGTTAGGAGTGAGGCCTTTATGGCAGGACTATTGCTTTTTCAAGAGGGAGGTCCAAACAAAGGTTCTCCAGAGCAGTGAAAAAAGAAATCCCTGTTGTTTAAGCCATCTAGTCTACGATATTTTGTTGTGGCAGTCCAAGCCAACTAGGACAGTGTATAGCTGAAATCTATGTTGATAGCAGCTCTATGCTTTTCTGGTGTCTAGAAGCACTCATTTCATCTAGTCTTTAAAAACTCAGGAGATGGTCAGAAAACACTTGCTGTCTGTATCACTATCATCTGTAGAACCTATATATTAACTATCATATTGAAGGACAATCATCATTAGCCCCCTTATACTCACATAATTGCTTTCTCATTTAATGTTCCCAACAGCCCTAAGAAACATGTATCATTATTTCCACTTTACAAGTGAGAAAACTGAAGCATCAGGAAGTTTGAAGAATACATGGCAGAACTGGGATTTGAATCCCACTCTGCCATGATCCAAAGTTTATGCTTTTCCCACCCAGCTGCACAGTCTGTCCTTGGACATTATAATATGAAAAAAAGTATCTTAGAACAACCTAATTTGTGAATAAAGAATGGTCATCTTCGAAATAAGGCAATAGTGACCATTTTAAAATAGGAAATGACATACCAAGAATAGCTGAAATGCTAAATTTAGTGCCATTCACTATAAACTTAAATCTATTAAAAGACATAAATAAAAGGCTACCAAATAAAAATTAATACTTTGACTGTCTTATCCAAGTATTTTAAACATAAAAAGGAAGCAACTTCATCAGTGCAGATAGAAGTATTCATACAGGAAAAAAACCATATACATTTATGTAATATTCAAGACAATTCCTGTCTCCTTAAGCCTAATACAGGCAAATTTAAACAACTATATAGACATAAAACTGACGGAGTAAACCATGAACACTTACCAATAACATTATGTTTTGAACTGAACGGATCTACAATTGTTTGATCTCTATAACTTCGAAAACCCTGGATAATAACCTAACAAACAGAAGAGAGATTTTTTTCAGAAAGAAATAACACACCCCAAAAGAAATAACTTCTAAGCTAATATTTTCCTTTAGCCCTCCTTCCCTTGCTGGTTTCCCATTTAATGCCAAATAGAAAAACTTCCATGTCAGAGAAGAAAAATTTATTTTGGAAAATGATTTAAAAATCTCAAAACTGCCCGAATATCAGTAATCACTGCCAGTATTCTTTAGAAGTTATAATTAGTAGCCCATTAGGGAGCGCTCAAAATCAAATACACTGTATAAGGCTGGCTGGAACGCTAACCATCACAGGACCGGATAAAAGTCTATCAAGCCTTCAGCGGGGCTCAGCGGTCCTGGGCGCCCCTTTCAATCACACTCTGGCCAAAACAGAGCCGCCCATCCAGGACAGGGCTGCTCAGAGTCCAACACATCCAGCCGAAAAATTTCTCCTAAGGCGTGTGAATGGGCTCATTTTCGGGGTGGCCTCCAGCGCGGGAAGACCATTTTGACAGAAAGTAAACAACGGAATGAGGAGGCGCTACACATTCTGCAGGAAGGAGGGACCCTTTCACGTCTCCGGTAACTCGGGGAGAAGCGAGGCCCCTGGCTAAGTTGACATCCCAGCTTGGACCCCACAGGCGTCCCGAGGCCGGGGACACCCTCTCTCCACACACGCCACGCAAAAAGCCCGCGAGGGGGCTGGCCAGCCCCGCAGGACCAAGCTGCTTCTCGTCCACCCGGGAGGGCCCGGTTCCCTCCAAAAGGCCCGCCTCGCCAGCCCCTCCAGCTCTCTCCGCGGGAGCCCGCCTCCCTCAGGCAAGCGCCCTGCGGAGAGGCTCGGGCTGCAAAGGGGCGCCCCGATTCTCTGCGGGCGCCCCGAGCTGCACCCCTCCCCCACAGTCCCTGTCCAGCCCCGCGCCACCCTGCAAGAAGCAACACCCCCGACAGAAAGAGTGGTCCCCACGAGCGCCTGAGGGGCGGGAGGAAAGCAGAGGCCTCACCTGCTTTATGTACATGGTTCCGCGCCCCTAGCCGGGGAGAAGGGCTCCCCCGCGAGAAGCAACAACTCGGCCGCGGGGTTAGGTGAGGCGCCAGAGAGACCCCTCCCCCCAAAGCGCCGCTTGCACCCCTCTAGCCAAACAAAATGGCGGCGCCCAGGGAGGCGGAGTCCCCGCCTTGGACGGAACCACCCTCGCAGCTTCCCTCGGAGCGTGGGGGAATCAGAGTCAGATCTGCTCTGTCTTTTTAGCAAAAGATCCTTCTACGATGTCGTTAGCTGAATTTCATTTGACTCCTCAATTTTTAGGTGAATTTTTCCTGAGAATTAGTCGGAAACTTCATTCGGAAAAGCCTTGGTCGTGAGATTGACCTGTATTCCCTCCGAGCGCGCAGCCAATGGTTGCGGCCACAAGGTGGCGATAGGTTCGGCGCCAAAGCTGAGAGGGTGTCCAAGCGCCAGTAGCGGTGCGAGTTGATGGCCCCGTGGTCTCGCGCTGTTTGGAAATAGCGAGCTGGGGCGGGCGGCGCGGCTGCCCGAACCTGTAGAGTGCAGGACCGGGGGAGAAACTTGGTGGGCAGAATCTCTGGTCCTCTATTATTCTCTCTCTTGTATAAGTTTAGAATGGCCCCCACTGGCTCTGGACTCCCCACTCTCAGGACAGCCCCAAATGGACTTGACGCTAGAAAATTAATTTTAATATTGTCATAGTTATTAATATCCCGGAGCTGTTACTGCTCTGCCAGTTGCTATAAATCTAGGCAGATTAGACGACTGCAAGGCAAAGATTTAGTTAAGATTAAAACCCCTCCCCCGCCTTTTTTCCTAAGAGCCTAAAAGCTTGGAGGTGCTAGTGGCAACCCTGGGCGTATCGGATCTGCCTCAATCGCAGGAGAAAAACCCGAATCTCTGGGCCGCTGTAAAATTACCTGCCACTCAGCAGTCACTCAAATTGGTCGGTCCTCGCCACCCGTCCCGCTACGGCGGGCAGTTCCAGCGCTGGTTATTTCTACGTTGAACTATTTCAAATGACTAACTTCATCCCTGTCAACACCTCTTGGTGCTGGAAGAAGACTTTATGTACCTTTTAAATAGATGAAAAGGACAAGGACACTTAAGGGAAACAAATGACTTAGGCAAGGCAAAGAGAAAGAGCACTTCAGGGAAAACATACGACTTTTAGGAAAGTCAGACCGGCCCTTAGGAGAAGAGTTGTAAGTCGGAGTAGTAATACTTTAAGAGTATTACTTCGGTGATGAGTCAGACCTCCCCGTGTGTTCCCAGGGAGAGGATTTATGGCAAGTGTGTTATTTTAAGCTCTTTTGAGAGGCAGATAAGAGATTTCAGAAACTCATACTTTCAGCCTTAAATAATATTTATGCCACAATAGTGGATTCTGGATCCTTTCCAGAGAGTATCCAGAGTATACCTGTCAGGTCCTCCTTCCCAGGTATGAGAAGCTTGATATCAATATAGGGGACCAGCATCATAATCTGCTCAGTGATAAGAGAATTATGACTCTAGACTATATTCTGAGGGCTCTCTTTACTGGCTCAGCAGTAAAGAATACACTTGTAATGCAGGAAACCACCTGTAATGCAGGAGTCCCCGGTTCCCTGGGTGAGGAAGATCCCCTGGAGAAGGAAATGGCTACCCTCTCTGTTGCCAAAATCTTGGCTCTTTGTGCACCAATGCCAAACAGAAATATGAGACAGAATTATGGAGGAAAAAGAAAGAGTGGCTTTATTACTTGCCAGGCAAAGAAGGAACACAATAGGCTAGTGCCTCAAGAACTGTGACACTCTCCCTACCCCTCTACCCACCCACCCTGAGTATGGAAAGGTTACATAGTCAGACTGGTTCAGAATTGGGAAAGGAGTACTCAAGGCTGTATATTATCACCGTGCTTATTTAACTTATATACAGAGTACATCATGCGAAATGCTGGACTGGATGAAAGGCAAGTTGGGAGTCAATATTGCCGGGAGAAATATCAATAACCTTGGATATGACATCACCCTTTGGCAGAGAGGGAAGAGAAAATAAAGAGCCTCTTGATGAAGGTGAACAGGAGAGTTAAAAAGCTGGCTTAAAATTCAACATGCAAAAAACGAAGATCGTAGCATCTGGTCTCATCACTTCATGACAAATAGATGGGGAAACAATGGAAACAGTGACGGACTTTATTTTCTTGGGCTCCAAAACACTGCTTAATTAAAATTAAATTAAAAGACCCTTGCTCCTTGGAAGAAAAGCTATGACAAATTTAGACGTATATTAAAAAGCAGAGACATTCCTTTGCCTACAAAAGTCCATCTAGTCAAAGCTATGGTTTTTCCAGTAGTCATATGTGGATGTGAGAGGTGGACCATAAAGAAGACTGAGTGATTACGAATTAAACTGTGGTGCTGGAAAAGACTCTTGAGAGTCCCTTGGACTGCAAGGAGATCAAACCAGTCAATCCTAAAGAAAATCAGTCCTGAATATTCACTGGAAGGACTGTTGCTGAAACTGAAACTCCAATACTTTGGCCACCTGATGTGAAGAACTGACTCATTGGAAAAGCCCCTGATGCTGGGAAAGATTGAAGGCAGGAGGAGAAGGGGACGACAGAGGATGAGATGGTAGGATGGTATCACTAACTTGATGGACATGAGTTTGAGCAAGCTCTGGGGGTTGGTGATGGGCAGAGTAGCCTGGTGTGCTGCAGTCCATGGGGGTCACAAAGAGTGCCGGACACAATTGAGCGACTGAACTGAAGCTGAGGGTATATGTATATTCATGAAGGAGTTGGGTGGTGGATGCATATTCATTAAAAGGCTTGAGCAGGGGAGAATTCAGCATAGAACTAGGGTAAGGTGGACAGAGTCAAAGCTTTGGTTGGTTGAAGTCACGATGGTCAGGAAAGTCAACATCATCATCCTTTAGGTTCCAGTGGTCTGGTGGTTGAGCGCTTTGCATGTGTGCATGCTAAGTCACTTCAGTCATATTTGACTCATTGCAACCCTGTGGACTGTAGCCTTCCAGGGCTCCTCTGTCCATGGAGATTCTCTTCAGGCAAGAATACTGGAGTGGATTGCCATGCCCTCCTCCAGGGGATCTTCCCAACCCAGGTATCGAACCCATGTCTCTTATGTCTCCTGCATTGGCAAGTGGATTCTTTATGAATAGCACCATCTGGGAAGCCATGAGCCCTGCAAAGAGGATTTACATTTTGCGAAACAGTTCAAGAAATTTCTTCAGGCTAATCTTTACTGTGGAAACAGAACTGAGGGTTTACAACTGGTTTATTGTCTTTGCTATTGTTACTTCTCTTGCATGTTAACAGTTTGTTCTTTCGTTCCCTTAAGATCATTATTACTAAGACCTGTTCAAGGGCAAGCATTGTGGTCAGGCTTAGGTCACAAAATGGTTTAGGACTAAAATGGCTTGTCTGATGTCTAAAAGCTATATCCAGTTCTTTTCCTCCAGGGAACCCCTACCCTAGTTGCTTACAGTATCTGTCAATTGTTAATAACATCTATTGTGATTGTGCATGCATGGGCCAGGAAAATTACCACAGCAGTGAGTTTTTTGGGCTCATTGCAACCCATATGAAACAAACAAGGACCAGGACTTCATTTTTCAGCTGGCCTCTGCACACCTCCAGTCTGTCAGGACCTAGAAACATGTTTGAGCTCCCCTGGCATCAGTGTCAATACAGATCTTGTCTTGTTGAATAGTGTTGTTGAATATAGTGCTGTTTAACCCAAGTTCGTGTGCCTGATGCACAGTGAGGCCAAACTGAAATGTTTTAGTTTGAAGCAGAGAAAGGTTTATTGCAAGGAGAATGGGGCAGCTTGTGCTCAAAAAGCACAAACTACCCAATGGTTTTCTGGGAAGGGTTTTTATAGGCAAATTTTGGAGGAAGGGCTACAGAGGTGTGTGACCTTCTGGTACAGTAACAGGGTGGTATTCCAGCAGTTTCAATGATCAACCCTCTTGTTCCACCTAGTCTGGGGTCCACATGCGTGTGCTCAGCCTTCAGTTAGCGTTCTTGATCTGCTTGGGGGACTTAGTGCCTGTAGAAGAACTCAAAAGATGTCTATCAGATTGTAGTGTGTGGACCTTGAGAAAGAACCAGGACCCCTTCCCGTCACTGCTCTATTGTCTCTTGCCTCCTTTTAATTTCTTTCTACATTCCCTCACTCCCCTAGTTAGTAACTTTGAATATGCCCTTTGGAATTCAGGGACAGTCTAGGAGGCTGAAGCCTTTTTCCTACAAATAAGAAATGGTCAACACAGAAAGGCTTTTGGTATGTGGCAGGGCCCCCAGGGTTCTGCCTGGGTTCAGTAATGCTCAAAAATCTGTCTGCTTCCTTTCTCCCATGGGTCAGTTACTCTGATAAGTTTCAGGGTCAGATTGGAGGAATAAATATACTGAATACACTTGCAGGAGGAATATACCTTGCTCAGAACCCAGCCTTCTATTCAACTTATGGGCTGTGGTGTGGGATCTGGCTAAAGTCTAGAAGTTGGGTGAGGGGTTGTGATTTTTCTGCTGTGTGACTGACATCAGCCTCCACTCACCCAAGCCTAATCTAATGTGGTATGTAAATAAACCTCTACCACAACTGGCTGCCCGTTTCACTCCTAGGAACAACGTGGTCTTAGCTGTAGCCATAGACTCCTTAAATGTAAGGGCTAAAAATAGAAAATCTTAGATGATAATATAGGAGTAAATCTTTGTGACTATAGATTCGGCAATGGTTTCTTAAACATGACACTAAAAGCACAAGTGATGAAAGAAACATAATTTATACTCTATCAAAACTTTTGTGCAGGGATTTCCCTGATCATCCAGTGGTTAAGAATCTGTCTGCCAATGTAGGGGACACCAGTTCGATCCCTGGTCTGGGAAGATCCCACATGTCGTGCAGCAATTAAGCCCGTATGCCACAACCACTGAGCCTGTATTCTAGAGCCTGCAAGCCATAGCTACTGAAACCTGAGCACTCTAGGGCCTGTGCTTCTCAACAA